GGGAGTACAAAACAATACGATCGTAAACACTTAGGGGTCGTTTGGTAGGATGTATAAGAATAATGCGGAATAAGGTGTATTAGTAATGCATGGGTTAGCAATGCAAGCATTAGTTATGCAAATATTATTTCTTATCTACTGTTTGGTGTGATGTATTAAAATTATAATGCATTGCACAATTTTTAAGAAAAATAGTTGTTTACAAAAATGTCATCCATATTCTCTAGCTTTAAGGGACTTTAAGGACAATTTTGTCTTTAACCATACTAATGCATGCATTAATAGCCTTGGTATTACTAATGTCATGGTTTTCTATGCATTACTTATACATAGGATAATACCAAGTATGATGTATAACTAATACAAGTATTAGTCATACACAGGTTGAAAAAATATACAAAACAAGGTATTAATAATACATAGAGCTAATGCTTGCATTATTTTTTCTAATACCTCCTACCAAACGACCCCTTAGGAATCAGATATATAATAAATGAGTAACCCATGTTTTGTCTTTTTCTTTAACCCGCAAAAGCCGCCGATTATATAGTCGTGGTCGAAATTGATTTCAGGATATTACGATATTTACCGCTGAACCAACCATTGACGAGTAATGTGAGCGAAAGCTTTATGGTTAATTTTTTATTTATTTATTTATTTATTTTTTTTAACAGTCCAATATTTTAGAGTTTACTATCGAAACTTACATCTAGTAATATTAGTGAGAGTACTAAATGTGTTCCATTCTCATTATTCCTCTTCCTCTTCGCCTTGGCTAATCAACTCCCCGTCCAATAAAACTCTTTTTAAATGTGGCTAGTCTATGAAAATGAGTGTGATGTTATAAAATATTTAGTAAATGTGGATGTCCACTACTCCCACTACTTTCACTCATGATGTAAATTACCTCCCACTACTCATCATCATTATGATTGTAACTCTCACACCTCCATAACCCCTCCCATGATCTTCCCCCATGATCTCAATTGTTAATGCCATGTTTAAGACAATGATTTTGTAACCTTCATATGTAATAGTATAAATAGAGGCATGAAATGTGAGATGGAATACACTTGAACACTTGATGAAATAAGAAAGTTATCTCTTCTTCTCTTATTCTACTTATCTTCTTGTTTTATATTGTTACTTTGAGGTATATTTTTTAACATGCGAATAATTATCTTGTAGATGCAACAATTATTATAGTACTTACTAACTAACAACTTACATATAAGATCGCTGCTGAAATTTGATAGGTTGTAATTTAGGAGTGGTGTGTATGGATCGAGTTGGTTCCATTTTATCAAAACTAACCAAATTAACTAGGAGTATATCAGTTCGGATTGGTTGTTTTGGTCGAGTTTTTTGAGTTTTTCGGAGTTTCTATTACATGAATATTACTTCAATCTTACTTTGTTAAAATTTTGATGTACTACGTCTAACATAATTTTTCGTTGAATGTACGCTTTCCCGATTAATCGGATTTAGTAATTAATTATAAAATTAATATGATCCTAAATATGATAAGTCTATTAATTTAAA